AAGTTAACTCAAAAAACTAGCTATGGGTTAAAAAGATTGAAGAAGTATCACTGTTCAATTCCAAACGAGTATTTATTAAAACTTGGATTTTTTATATTATACTAAGCTTTTTTTTTAAGTAAGCTTAATTTTTATACGTCATTGAATAAAAATTTTACCAAAACCCCCTGTACACGGCCCTGGTATCTCGTATAGGTATGTTTTATAACGTGCGTTCTAATTTTAAGAGGAAATAAAAAATATTTAAGCTTAACTTTCATGCATTACCTTTCTCTCGAATGTATCTGGGAACATGTACTGCTTTCATCTCTTCTTAAGCGATCATCTGCTGTGCTAGAAATCATTTGATGTAGCAAGCATTTTTCGAAAAGATTTAATGCATCCAGTGGAACTAAAAACGGTTCATTGGCTGTTAAATATTTAACTATAAGTTTGTATTTATAATACTGTAGCCCCGAAGCTCTGTAAGGAATAACGTAAGATGTCTCCATCAATCCTTCTGTTCTTCTTATACCATCCAACCGAATACTATTTGAAAAAAAAATGCATAATAAAATATGACCTACCTACTCCAAATTTTTCTAAATGAATAAAAGAAATTATTACAATTGCTATGAAAATAATTTAAAAAAAAATCTAATTTATTTGAAAATTAAGCATGTATGCCAGTATTACCCTCTGCATACACCTATGGTTGTTGTAAGTTATTTTTAATACGAGTGACTAATAAAATAATATGTAAATTATGTACATGTAAATTGTATATACAACAATAACTATTCGTAAACATTTATTTAAATGAGTATGCATCTGAAATAAAAAGGCAATATTGTAAGTGTCTATGAATAATAAATTAACATTTAAGTATACGCAAATAGGTGAAAGTACGCAGTTTTGTTACTATTAATAAATATTGAATAAATAGCAACTACCTACCTATGAAGCAATGCATTTGATAGTACTCTCATGTTTAACGTATTTCCTTCGTCAAATTCTAATTTTCTAATAAGTTCTATAAAAGTTTGAATAGTTAATGGAGGCTTTGGAAAATTTTCTGCGTAACTCGATTGATAACATTTCAATAAATTCGAAGGAATGTAGGATGAAATTTGATCAGAAACTGATAGCAAACTACCTAAAAAAAATTAAAATGGGTTAAAAGTTTTTACCTTTTCCATTAGTTTACCAAAACAAAAAAATAAGACAACGTGCTTCATTCTTTTCTGACTTACACAAAAAAACTCGATTTAGGTGATGCTTGATTACTCATAATAAACAAAATTTACATTAGTGATAAAAGACAAATTGATAAGATAAGTCTACCCTACCAATGCAATATCTATCCATGTTGATACTAAGTAAATACACATCTTTTTACGCAACAAAAAAGTGAAATAAAGCACTTTTAATGAATGAAACTGATTTTTCAAGAATTATTTTAGTATTGTTTCTGGTAATTTAAACAACAAGCTATTTTACTACAAGTTCGTAAATATTTACGTCTATTGTGTGAAGACGAATCTTGGAATTTTATATTTTGTTTAAAACAGTTACATACTCATGAATTCTTAAAAGCAGTATAAAATTCATTAAATTTTGTAATGATTTTCTGTTTTCGAATTCCCGCCTTTATAGTTTTTATAGTAATATCTGTGGACGTCGTCCACTGAGCATCTATGAATCCAGTAGCTAATTTCATTCCGATTGTCTAATTTCACACTTATTGTTTAAAAGTCTAACCTTAATTTTCAATAAGAAGAAATTTAAAATTCTACTTGTTTTTACACAGTTTAAATGTTATTTTAGCTTATATTATGTCTCGGTGTAGTTCAGAAAATGCTAAAAACAATAAAAATAAAATTACTAAAAGAAGTCCATCTGTTGCAGAGATAAAGATTGAAATTAGAAAAGTAAGTGGTTCTATAAAGTTTAATCAAATATCTGAGTAAATTTTTACATCTTTTAAGCAATTTAAAGAACGATTACGAAGCTTGAGAGACAATGCGTTGGATAAGAAAAGAATTTTGTTAGAAGATTTTACAATGTTTGAGCTGAAAGAGCGTTTGCTAGAATCCTTTGATTATCCTGATAACACAGACATGCTTACAGCCTTTGAAGAAATTGAAGAAGAAATTAAAAACGAATGTAATATACAACAAGCTCAGCAGTATCAAAATGATCTAGAAAATGAAGCAAATTACCTTGTTAGTAATTCAATGGAGCCATGTATTGTATGTGATACATTGACTGTCCCAAATAGCAATGAAACTAATGTTATTTGTTTATTATGTACCAAAAATTATTTTAATTCTAATGAATTGTAGGTGTATGTTCCATTCTGACCACAATATATTTTTTATACTATATACCTGATGAATTATTGCATATTGCAGTATACTTTAATTTCTTAATTATTGCAAATAAAATTCATAGTAAAAAATTAGGGTATTTATTGATAATTACTTCTTGTGAATTACAGTGGAAGAGGTACAATTATACTAGTAGATTATGTAATTTAGAAATTAATGTTTTACACTTCACTTTTTGACAAATAGGCAAATTAATTGTTTACAATAGAAAAATAATAGTGTTCGTTTGAAGTAGCATTACAACTACTTCTTGCCTAACAAGTTACACATTAAATAAAATAATTTAATTATATCTACTAACTATCAAAAAACAATATCTTTTTCCCTCACATTTGAACATTTAATCTCGAATTTATAGTTAATTTAACATTTAAGCTTTACATTAAATCCCATTTTTAACAACCATTTAGTAATAATTTCTCCATGGTCTAAGTTCAAAAATATACATTATAACATCTGCACATTTAGCTATTAAAAGAATTATTTTAGACAATTCACAATGTACACTTACCAATTACAATCTTGTTTTTGAAATTTATCCATCTTTATTATTTTGCCAATTACCAATTTGTACTTTTATTATAACTCATTGGCTACTAAACTGATTTTTATTAATTTCATCAAACAAAGAAAGCACACAATTACCTTATCCATAAGTACTACAAATAACAGACAATTTTGTACAGAAAAATGAATTTTAGTAGTTAAATCCATCTGAAAATTATGCAAGAAACAGTAGCAAAACCTCTAAATGTCAATTTGTAACCACTGCATTGCTAAGTTCACTGAATTGGAATAAAATTAAAAGTATACAAAATTTAATTCTCATATGGATATAACTATTTATTTTCATTTATATACAGCTGCCTAAAACCAAATACTTAATAGTTATACATCCACATTATCAATAATTTGAACTTTTTTTGGCTCTGGATGGGAATAAAACGACTGCATAATTATTTCTCTCAAGAAACGTTTTAACCCGCAACTTTATAATTTTAGATATCGCCATTCTACTAATGTTATAATTAAATATGAAATACCGCGTATTATAATTTCTAAATTACACATAGACATACGACCATAATCTAGAGAATGAATGAGAAATTTATCATTTTATCACAGCTGTAACATAAAGAAAATGTTAGTTTTTGCAAGAACTGTCCCAAATTCATTAAATAAATAAAAATGAAATAGCTCTCTTAACAAACAACTTATTAATGATACAAAAAAAAAACTAAACGCTAACAACTCCAAAATTATATAATGCAATATTTATGACTTTCTCATGGAAAGCATAGTATTAATTTCCCAAATAATTCTACGTAAATGATCTATTACTTCTTTGAGTTGCCTGTTTTTCAAAACTACCTGCTCCATAACATCCTTACTCTCTTCACAGGCAAGTCTATAAGACTCGTGGTTTTTCTTTTCCTCATGTTTAGGGTCAATTTCGTCCTTATAAGGAATTAAACTTTCAATATGAGTGTATTCCATTCCTTGCAGTTGACAATTTTCATTGCACTTTTCATATATCAGACGAAGCCTTTTGAAGAGGACACGGATTGTACGAAGTTGTTCTTGCACTTTCACTTTTTTCTCGTTACTTGTATTAGTACCCTGTGGAGTACCATTTGGAGGCTGCAATTGTACATACAGAAATGATTATTGTACTTTATATATATTGCATAAAATGTTTTGTTCTTCCAATTTCTTTTTACCTGGATGGTTTTTAGTGTTTGGAAGACTTCCTGTGTTCTGCTAACTATATCCTGAACAGTTTCTTGACCAATGCGACAGAGAGAGGCTGTATTAAATTCTTTTGACTGTTGTTGCTGTTGTTGCTGCTGCTGCTGCTGTTGTTGTTGCTGCTGCTGCTGCTGTTGTTGTTGTTGTTGTTGTTGCTGATGTTGCTGCTGCTGCTGCTGCTGTTGTTGCTGCTGTTGTTGTTGTTGTGGTACTACAGGTGGTGTGGGAACTACAGGAGGTTGTTGTAGTACTTGTTGTTGTTGCATGGTATGATGCTGCAAAGCACCTAAATCAAATAATAGTTTAATCACCACATATTTAAATTCATAATGATATTGTTTGCATTTAACTTACCAGTTCCTTGGATTTGCAATGGACTTTGGTGTGGTACCATCTGAGTGTTAGAATTCATGTTATATTGTTGTCCTAACTGACCAATAATAGGACTATTAACAGGCATATTTGGATTTATTTGATTATTTAATGATGTAGGCATTTGGGGAACCATTTGGCTTCCAATCTGAGGTCCCATTTGGGGACCCAATTGATTCCCTATTTGAGGAGCCATTTGAGTACCCATTTGTGGCCCAATCTGATTGCTCATTTGAGGTCCCATCTGTCCAGACATTTGTACTGGCATTTGACTACCCAACTGACTTGTCAACTGGTTCTGTATGCCCCCCATTTGGTTTTGCATTGAATTTCCTCCAAATTGTGAACGCATACCTGCTTGTGCATTAGTTAAATTTGGTAAAAAATGATGAGGAGGACCAGACATCTTGATTAGTTATTTTCAGCTAAAACTATTTACATAAATAAGGTAAAAACGCATATACACCAAAGCTTACATTGCACACTAGAACACAACACAATAACAAGAAAATTTCTACAAATCAAAAGGATGCAGCAATTTTTGATGGAAGCATATTATAATCAAATAGAGACGTTATTTTTTATGAATATATTTCAATTTGTTGCTCTTTTAAGTAAATTCGGCGCATTCTGTGGCCGATCACTGCCGACCACTTTTTTGAGGTTATTCAACTTTTTTATGAGCTTTATAGGTTAAAAAATTTGATAATGTCTAAAGTATGCTCGAAATGGAAATTAGTTTCTTAATTCATCCAAATTATCAATTTAATAATTATTTATTAGGGATTATCACAAAATTAAATTTAGGCCGCCTGAAAAAGAGGGAAGTGTTTAAACATAAATAATAAAACGTACAATTTTTTTGTATTTTTAAAAAGTACAAAAATTAAAAAATGTTTTCATTTCAATTAAATATCGATATAATAAATAGAGCAATAGTCATGAAATTCTTAGTAATTGATAACAATATTAAATTGATTTAGTAATACATAATTTTTAAATTTATTTTAGATCTGTGGTTGCTACTGAACTTCTATGATATTAACCCTTGATGAATTTAATAAACGTTTCATCGATGTAAGTTGATGTAAGTACGGAATCTATAATCTATAATGTTGTCTTTGTATCGGCACTCCCTTGTTTAGCAAATTAAAAAGTAATAATCATGAATGAAGGTGCTGTTGAGAACAAATTAGGTAGAGAAACAATGCAAAGAAATAGGTGAGAGAAAACCAAGAAGCCCGATTCGGCATGTTTTTTACTGTAGACGAATTCAAAATGGAGTATTAGTCAGTCAATTTGTTTTTGTTTTGTGATATTAAGACTACATCATTCTGTTTATGTTCTATTAAAGTGGGTGCCAAGTGCAGATAATATTGTTTTTTCTAAGTTCAAAAGTGTTCAAAACAAACAAATCTTTCAGTCTTATCAACACTAATACTGGACATATGATCTCTGTGTTAATTAAGTAACAACAAATGTAAGGTAAGTTTCTTTGAGAAACTGTAAAACTACTTTTTTAATAAGATCTTGATTATTATGTTATTTTAACAAACGGATTAATGCTATTAATTTATATAAAAATTACATTTTTTTTTCAACTTATGAATCCACATACTGCAAAGCGGTGNTAGCCAGAAATATTTCAGCTTTGTTAATGGGTATATTCTTTACAATTTCATATGTATATTTTTTGAATTATTTCAATCAAAATACCATAGTTATACATAAATTCGTTGTAAAATACCAGGATGTAGGTAGAAACAATCTGTATTTGATTCAAGAAATAGTAATTTGTCTTCTTGCAACAGAAATTATCAGTCACAGTAGTGAAGCATGCAGGTATTGTCATGAATCTTAATTGGATAAAATTCATAGTAATGAATTATACATTATCTTTTTTTATTGTTTGACTAAAGAAACGTCTACCTGTATATACCAAAACAGTACAAATATTCTAATCATTTTAATTGTTTACATAAAGGTAAAAAGGTACGAGAAACTATGTAAGCATATAAGTATATACCTATCTATATTAACTTTTTTGTATTGAATAAAAGAGCTAAGTTTAAATAATTTAATTTTAATTCAGTTCTTTATATCCATCACCTGATGAGTAGAAAAATTATTTATCAATATAAATACAAAAACGTAACATGACTAGATAAACACTTACATCATTTGAAAAGAATTTTACATTTAATAACATAAAATGTGATTTTAGACCTAGATTTAATTTCTTGACACTGATATTCAATTTAAATAGGAATTTATAACATTTAATCACAGTCATCATATAGTGTACTAATTTTAACTCAGAATCAGTAAATCTAGTTGAAAACTGATTATTAATGTTAAAGTTTGTAAAATTTTTTAAAGGAGTTTTATGTCTTCCTGAAACATTTTCAATTTTACCCGTATGTCTGAGAAATCGATTGCGTATATTTATTTTACTAATTAAAACTTTAACCACTTGTTTGTTTTGTAGAGACAATTATTAGGTGTACCAGTAAAATGATAATTGCTTTTTTAATTAATGAATGCAATTTTAAGTTGGAAGAATCACTCTATTAAAAATTTATTCAAAAATATAAAATTTTACGTTTAGATTAAAAGTTTTTAATAGTATGTTATTGTGCTTTCTGCAATCTTTAGTATACAATTATATAAAGTTCGAAATCTTTTTTAAATTAATATATTTTTCTTTATTATTTTATAGGATGCATCATAGACAAAGTAGATGCCCCTTGCGACCTTGTGGCATGTTTTCGTCCTTTTTTCCATGGTGAAAAGCTACGCAAACGGGGCCCTTGCGGCAACTTTGTTGTTGCTTGTGGCCCTGTCAAGCGGTGCTGATGGAGGTGTGGTTGTAGCACAATTTCCACCATCTGGTGAGCCCCAACTCAAATTTTCTCATTTGGCTATCGACCACGAGACAGGAAATCTTTTTGCTGCTGCTACTAATCGACTTCTACAGCTAGATCCAGATCTTACTCCTGAACACGTTGTTATTACTGGACCTCGACATGATAGCCCTTTATGTCACGCCACTGGCTGTCAGGTAGCTTTCTATCTCAATTTATTACTCCTATCTTATATGTATACTAAAGCAAATAAGCAGTTCTTAAACAAAAATTGCCCTTTTTATATTCACTGATATTGAAAACTATTGTAAATAAGAAAGGGTATTAATAACTGTCCACTTTCTCGTTCTGGTTGATTAAACAGTGGCGTAGCTGTAGGGGTGTATATGAGTAAATCTAATATTTGTTTTTATTAATAGGGGACTGATATTCCGACGACACTAATGGACAATCACAACAAAATTTTGGTGATAGATTCACAATCTCGCACTTTAATTTCTTGTGGTTCTCTCTCACAAGGTGCTTGTGTTAAGTACGAATTACATAATATAAGTGCTCCCGAAGTTTTTGTTGCACAAGCCATAGCTGCAAACGACGAAGCAGCCTCCACGTATGCGTACATAGGTCCTAGTAATTACAACCATTGGAAGTTGCAAGTTCTCTACGTCGGTACAACGTTTACAAATAACGGAGAATACCGTCACGACGTACCGGCAATTGCCAGTCGAAATTTGGACAACTTAGAAATAGCGGAATTTTCATTTTTAAAACAATCTCAACTTAATATCGATGTTAAATATCGGGACCATTTCTTAGTTCAGTATGTTTATGGTTTTAACGCGAGTGACTTTGCGTATTTTGTGATCGTGCAAAAACAGTCGCATCTTCCGGGACAAGAGGCCGGTTACGTTTCACGATTGGCTAGAACTTGTATTAACGATGCCAATTACGACAGTTATACGGAGGTAACTTTACAGTGTATTGACGGAAATCAGAGTTATAATCTTATCCATGACGCCAAGATCGCAACTGCTGGTAGTGAGTTAGCGTCAGTTTTAGGAATTCAAATAAATACTCCCGTCTTGGTGGGAGTGTTTCAACCTGCAAAGGGTATCACGAACGAACCTCAGCCATATTCGGCTCTTTGTTTGTATCCTATAAAAGACATCGAGGCGAAGTTTAACGAAAATATTCACATGTGTTTTAACGGTAGTGTAAAGTATAGAAACATGGAATACATTTCGGGTCCTATACAAGACGGCAAATGTCCTAGCGCCGGTAATGCAGGCAACATATTGAACTTTTGCGAGGTGGGGTTAAAAATCAGTGGAGTTACTCCTATCGAAACAAAAGCATCTCTAGTTTTCCCGAATGTGACTCTGTCTGCTGTGGCCACAGCTACAACAGGAAGGCACGTTCTTGCTTTCTTAGGAACAACTAGTGGACATGTCAAGAAAGTTTTGCTCTCTGGAACGCAACCGACCGAGTACGAGGAAGTAGTTGTTGATGAAGGAAATCCTATCTTACCTGACACTACACTTTCCCCTTCTGGCGACTTCCTCTACGTTTTATCTACCTCAAAGGTTTTAATTGTATTTTGAAATTAAGTAGGTCACATTTTAAATGTAATTGTTTATTACAGATCACTAAGATTAAAGTAGAACACTGCAGTAGTTACAACAATTGTTCTGCTTGCTTGGAATCGAAAGATCCTTATTGTGGTTGGTGTTCTCTGGAGAAAAAGTTAGTTCTTAGAGTAAATAAACATTTTCAGGATAAATTTAAGACTTGTCTTAATATTTTTAGATGTACCATTCGTAGTGCATGTCAAAAAGCGTCTCACAGCTCTCCCAGATGGCTCTCATTAGGCACAGGACAACAGTGTATTGATTTTGAGCAAGTTCTTCCTGACCGTATCCCTGTTAAGCAAATGACTACTGTCCGTCTTACAATAAGAACCTTACCTGAACTTCCCTATGGTGCTAAATACAAATGTGTTTTTGGTCAGTCAGAACCAATTGACGCGGTTGTTACTGATTTTGGACTTATTTGTCCCACTCCTAACATCAGTAGTAGACCGTTAATTCCAGAAAAACAGGATCATGTTCTTGTTCCTTTGAGTGTTAGATCATCAGAGACAAATAAGGATTTCGTTTCGAGAAATTTTGCGTACTACGACTGTTCCAAACATACAATTTGTATGGACTGTGTTAGATCTCAGTGGGCTTGTAATTGGTGCATATATGAAAATAAATGCACCCATAACACATCTACTTGCCAGAGAACTACAGTCAGTGGTGAAAATGTAAGTCCATATTGGGAAATTGAAAATATGTTATGAATAATTTTTTGTTGGTTTAGAATCCGTCTAGATTGCCGAATCACGGAATCAATTTTTGTCCAAGATTTAAAAGAAGGGATGTTATTTTTTTACCTAATGGAGTTCCTAAAGAGATGATTTTTGAAGTTGAAAACTTGCCCCATCCACAGCCTGGCCACACTGGATTCCAGTGTATTGTTAATATTGAAGATGACGCCAAGATGCTTGTTCCTGCTAGAGTTGATGCCAACAATAGATTTATAGTTTGCGATAAAACTACAGTGAGTCTACTAGTGTAAGATCTCTTATTCATATGAGTAATTTATTTCTATTTTTTAACTTCAGTATACATATAAGGAAAAGGTAGGAGAATACAAAGCTAGTGTTCGTGTTATTTGGAACAGAAATCACCACATAGATTCCATGAACGTTATCCTGTACAGATGTGATATATTAGGTTCTGACTGTTCTTTGTGCGTCACGAGAAATTCTAAATATCAGTGCACTTGGTGTGGAAACACTTGCAGCTACAACGAAACATGCCAATTTGTATCTCATCCAGAATGTCCTAAACCAAGAATAGATGTTGTAAGTAACGTAATTTTTCTCCATAATAATAATAATAATAATATAATTTTACCATTTTAATGCTAATTGTGTATTTTCTTAGATTAAGCCATTAAGTGGTCCAATAGAAGGTGGCACATTAGTTACTATTGAAGGCAGTAATTTAGGTTTGAGGAAAGAAGATGTAATGGGAAAAATAAAAATAGGAAAAGTGCCGTGTGAACTTGTAACTTACGAGGTTTCTGTCAAAATTCAATGCATAACAGGATCGTCCCTTACAGAAATGACTGCACCGGTAATAGTGGGGAATGAAGCAGGATACACCGAGTCTGCAGTAGAATTCAGCTACAAGGATATTCGGTTGATAAACGTGTACCCTCGGATTGGACCTCAGTCGGGAGGTACACAGTTGGCAATTACTGGTCAATACTTGAATATCGGCACTGTTATAGTGGCTTACCTCGACAATTATGCTTGTCGTGTAAATTTAACGCAAGCGTCAAGTAGTAGATTAACTTGTGTAACATCTCGTGCTTCAAAACCGACAAACATAGCGCGGCTTACATTGAGTATAGATGGAGCAAATCGAACACTTGAGGGAAACCCTTTTAATTACACACAAGATCCCACAATAATGGAAATAAAACCATTAAAAAGTTTCGTTTCTGGTGGTCGTATGATCTTCGTCCATGGAAGTAATCTCAACAGTATCCAGAAACCAGAAATGGAAGTTTATTATTTCAACGATCCTGTGCCAGTGAACAAAACTGTTTGTACCGTCCTTAGTTCGACCCAGATGGAATGTCCTAGTCCAGCAGTTAATCGTCAATTTTTGTTGGCAAGCACTCGAATTCCGCGTTCTGTACCTAGAAAAAATTCGGTTGCAAAAACTTTAGAACTTAATCTTCGTATAGAATTTGTTATGGACGACGTTGTAACAGTACGTGATTTAGAAAAACATTTTCCTAATTTACGTTCTCAGTTGTTGTTCGTGGAAGATCCGAAATTTTTCGAATTCCCGAACCAGGTAAAGCTTTATAAAGGGGATACTTTGGTAATAGAAGGAGAAAATTTGAACGTAGCCAGCGATGAGACAGATGTTGTCGTTACAATAGGAAGAAAACCCTGCAATGTCACCAGTTTGGCTTTAACACAACTTGTCTGTTCTCCTCCAGAACAGCAGCCAGAAGATCTAGATGAAAATGGCGTTAAAGTGAGTAAAATGCGTTTCTAACGTTACCGTTTTTATAGTAAGTTTGGCTGCAAAAAGGTGTAACTATGTACTTGTACTTTTTTAGACTGATAAGAGTCTTCCGCTAGTTGTTGTCAGAGTTGGAAGAAACCTTCGCTTTCCCATCGGTTATTTAAGATACGACTTATTAAAACCGTTCACTTTCCCACCAGAAGCTATAGCAATGATAGCAGCCGGAATATTCTTATTTGTTGTATTTTTTCTGGCTGTACTTGTTATTTACAGACGAAAATCTACACAAGCTGAACGTGAATATAAACGTATCCAAATTCAAATGGATACCTTAGAAAGTAACGTGCGCTCTGAATGTAAACAAGGTAATTGTAAAAACAATAATTACGGTTTTTTAATCATTCGTAATAGTTACTCATTATTTTTTTGTTTTTTCCAGCATTTGCAGAATTACAAACAGATATGACAGATTTAACAGCAGATTTAGAAAATTCCGGTATACCTACCCTTGATCATATGAGTTATATTATGAAGGTCTTCTTTCCCGGTGTTAGTGATCACCCTATACTGAACGCTCCGAAGGTAATGATCATTTAAATAAAGGAATATAGTACTTATTT